GTTTAGAGACGTCATAAAACGTCCTTAAGTCGTCTAAAATGTCGTCATCCATCTGTGACATTGGACTATCATTTTGACGATATTCTCACGATATTTTTGATCATTCCTTGGTTATTTTTTATCCTGAACTTACTTAGATTTGGATGTCATTTTGACGTGTCTGCTACCTGGGAGAGGTCTCAGGCTCGAATCTCAGCAATGCCCATACAGCACAGAAGCTTGCAGCAACATTGCTACAACGTTGCAAGATTGCATATTGCAGTGCAATGTTGCAGAGACTTTGCAATGACATTAATTTGCAATATTACTTTAGCAATATTGCAGTAATATTTAAAAAAATATTACGAATATAATATATTTTATTTATTTACTAGTTATTTTTGTTACTTGTATTTCAAATTCAGTAATGTTTTACATCAATAATACTTATAGAATAGTACTTAGAATAGCACTCGTTAGTGGCAATCATTAATTTGTCTTATTGCATATTTTTTATACTTCTTATACCGTTTTTTCGGAGAAAATACTTTCTTTAGATTTAATATTCGTACTTGTTTAATTTTGTGGTTTCTTCTATTTCATTAAAATATTATATTCTTAAACGAAATATCATTTTTTAAAATGATAAAAATAAAACTTTTATTTCGTCCAAGGAAACCATGTCATTTGATGAAACAACACTATTGTGTTAAATAATTTTTTTTTAAAGTTTCTCTCAAAATTTAGTAATTCGATTTGTTTAATTTGGATTTTCTTGGATTTTTTAATTTTTTTTGTTGAATTAATCATTATAACATTTTGTTAAAAATGTGAAAGTAATTATCACTGGTTCACTACATTACATTAATATTCATCGCATATCGAATGTTGCATTGTTTCAATATCTATCGACAAATTATCCAATAAACAAGTAAAAATTATATAACTATTATTTGGTGTTTGCTAGGTATGTTATAATATACTGCGAACAATGTAAAGATACATTATATAAACATGAATTGTAAGAATATCGTTGGAGTCATCAGAGTCACCGCGTGCGCGCCGATTGTCAGGTTTAAGCAACAGTTTAATGCGGTCAGGACATGGATGGGTGACCAGTGGTATACCGCTTGGGATCGAAATTATCGCAGGAGGATTCATGAAGGTTTGGAATGTGTTGACAACCTTTGATATCTAGTAGTTTATGAGACATGAGAAAATTAGGAATATAAGTATATTTTTGTAAACATTATGATT